AGGTGGCTGCCAGCGCCGGGGCCGGTCACGTGCTGTCGCGCCCCATGGGCCGGGAGGTTTTGCCTGGGGGGCGCCTGGCGCCGACTTCCTTGGAAGCGAGAGCCCGGCAGGGGCAGTGCTGAGGGCGAGGGCTGGGCCCGGGCCCGTGGTTATTGATTTCTCGGGCTCCAGCTGCACCGGGCATCCCGGGACTGGGTGCGAGCGCGCGAAAGCTGGCGGGGGCCGCGATCTCCTTGCTCCGTTTCTTGGTCCGATTCGATGCCTTCCACCTTCTCTCAGGGGAATTTCCCCCTCAATGTGGAGTCAATTAAACATACTGTAAAAATCCCCAGCGGGTGGAGACTCATCCTTCCCGGGACCTGCAAGCAGCACGGAGCCATTGGGCAGGAGGCAGCAGTGATTTGCACCTTGTAGATCAGGGCTTGCCAACGTTTTTAGACAGAGTGCCCCAAACACCCATAACCTCAACCTGAAAGATATTGGTGTGCCAGGGGCAGACAGCAGGGCCCGCGAGGCAGCGCAGCCCTGGCCCCTTCCCTGCCATCCACCCTAAGGCACATGTGCCAAGCAAAATGCTTTTGATTGCTGCACTCTGGCACCTGTGGTGGCAGGCACTGCCTACCCCTTGTTGTAGACTAACAAAAGTGCATGCGCACACATATATACTATCTACTTTGGTTAGTCTGTTTTCATCTACCCTGCCTTATATTTATCATGGCCCATCTCTTGCACTTTAGATTGATCAGAATCCAGAATGGCAGCTGGAGGAACAGAAACCGCTTCCTCAGGTATAATGAATCTATCAACATATGTACATTTAGTCCAGGCCAGTCTGTTTCTGCTAAATGATCACTGCAAATCTGAGACCGAGTAATAGAGGAATTCCTAATATCCTCTGGTCAAGACTCAGGATAGTTTATCTAGCTTTATGTTTATTCATTCTGCCTATCCTAACTCATCCCCATATGGTAGTCTTCTTACAGGACCTAGACATGTGACTTCTTTTTTTTCCCCCTTTCTCAAAGAAAAAAGTAACCATGGAGTTGCTTGATCATCTGGAACGACTGGCACTAGTTGATTTTCGCAATTGGGAGGGCGTAGAGCGGCTGGAGAAAGCAATTCAATTTGCTGATCAACTTCATGAGGTTAACACAGAAGGGATAGAGCCAATGGATTCGGTACTTGAGGACAGGTAAAAAATTATGGTTAGTGACTGCTTTAACTACTAGTTTTCCAAAGAAATGCTGCAGTAAATTTTTTGCCACTAATCATGCCAACTATGCAGTTAGCTGGTCCTCCACAAATCCTTTATTTTAGGTCAGGTGTGTTTTTCTTTTGGGAGGGGTAGAGGAGTGTCTAAAGTGTCCCTAAGCTTGGAATATAAACACAAGGCTGTACACAAATTTCTTAATGTTCTTATGTAGACCATTCATGTTAGAAATATCCTGTATTACAAATGCAAAATCATTGTAAAATCACTCCTGAATGTTCTTGCACCTGGTGTTCTGCACACCGAACAGCTTCAGGGACAGTTTATATAAACAATGCCTTCTCTGTATTAGTTTCTTTAGCAGCTTCAGTTCATCAAGAAACCAGATTTTCTGCACGCTTATATGAAAACATTTGTTTCACTCAGCTCAATATAGAGTAGGGCTGATAATCTTAAGCACTAGGCCAACTGCTGTGTTTATTTCTTCAGAGAACTCAGGACATGGTATTGCTCATTTCAGGAAAGCTCAGTAAGTGGCAACAACACATGTGCCTGGTCAAATGTAAAGCTTGACCTGAACAATGGGACTGGTGGAAGCGTGTTACCCAGCTGCCAGGGGTCTCTCAGCAAGACCTAAATTCAAGATGCAACTAGCATATTTTAGTATGACAAGTTTTGAAGGCACTTCCTTCTGATTCTAGAGCATGACTTTGCATCCTGTATCAGACTCTCTAAAGCACAGTTGGCAAAGTAGGTCATTTGGAAAAAGAACATTAAGTTTCCTGTGCTCCCCAGGTGTCTGTATCTCAGAGGAGATAACATCACAGAAGGCAACTGCACCAAGGAGCTGCTACAAAATGCCAGTCAGACAGCAGAAGAATATTTTGAAGCTCCACCAGGTAGAGTTTGTTACAGATGATGCTAAATGGGACTTGATACCTGCCCTGATTTTTAAGAAGTATTAACCTGTCAGTTAATTCACTTCTGTGTATACTGAATGGTGGTAAGCATGTACTGAACTAGGATGATAGCCACAGTCACTTGTTAAAATAGAGGGATGGGACCCTAGCTCATTATTACTTAGTGGCACTGCAGAAGTTATGGCTTTATATTTACACCTAGTGTTGCTTATGCAGACTCTTTACAAAAGGCAGCTTTTTGTAAACTCAAGTGCAGCTTTTTTGCAGGGGAAAACCTAGTCACTAGTAAGTGTTTAAGCCACAAGGACAAGCATGTGAATTGCAGCAATATCATTCAGGAAACTAGCAGGCTGTCTCATACTCTCATTATCTGTTTCCTATTAGGTAACATCCCTCTACCAAAGTTAGAAGAGCATGAGAGCTTCCTGCAGGACTCCAACTGAAAAGCTTGGGCCAGAATTGCCACACTGGTTCTTTCAGCAGTATGCTGTTGGGGACAATTAATCTTATGTAGCTTCAGCTGATGTTACATTATCCCAAGAACAACACCCACACATGAGTACTGATTCTTTCTGCTCCTCCTCTTTACAATATTTTATTTCTATCAAAGGGTTTGTTTGGATTATTTTAAAATATACACATGAAGGTGGAAGGTGTTAAGCCACTTTCAAAATAGAAATATGGCCTCAATACTGTTTGCTTAGTCTGTATTTGGTAGGGCTGAAGTGTCAACCTGGAGAACATCAAACAAGTTCAGTACTCTAGATACATCTGCATATCACAGCCTTGATGACAAGGGAAACTAGGACTATCCAACTTTTCTGTCAAGTTATGAGAGGGGCTGGAGAAGAAGTTAGGTACTGCAGCTTTGTAAGAACCTAATTCACTTAAACTATTTTTCACTTCCTGGCTTAGCTCGGATTAGAGGTCTAATCAGGAAAAGAAACCCTCAAAGTTCAGTACAGTAGAACAGGTACTGTTGAGGGAACTTCTGCTAGATTAAAAAAGCACTTAGAGAAAACGCTGTTTTTACCGTATGCCTTCATCTCTCTCAGCTCTGACTAGTCTTACATTTGTATATATATTGCTTTCCATGTATAGCTTTGTGGAATGCTGTGCTAATATGCCAAATTCCTACATTTACACTTAAGGAAGGCATGTAGAGTTTGTTTATACATACAAGTGATTTTTTTTGATGTAAAGTTGAATGCCCTGCCCAGAAAGGCCAGTGGAAAATACTTATTGTGAGAGGCCATTTGACCATCCATATGCATTGATTAAACTGAAGTTCTGGCTGCTTTCTGATCATCGTAACCAGGGATCCTGGTTTTCTCTGATTTACAAAAATGCAAACCAAAAAACAAACCAACAACCCAATTTTCAGGTTAAAAAAGGAACCCAAAATCCACATTTTTCTGTGATCAAAATGAAACACCACTACATATATATCCATGTATTACTGCCGTTTCATTTTGATCACAGAAAAATGTGGATTTTGGGTTCCTTTTTTAACCTGAAAATTGGGTGGTTTGTTTTTTTAAATCGGTGAGAACCTGATCATAACACTGTGATGGCCTGGTGTATAATAAAGCAGTAGAGAACTTTGTTCCAAGCAAACACAGTTGTAGTAGTGCTAGTAGTTTGTTTTCAGTGGTAAAATCACTTATAAGGGGAATGAAAGGTGCTATAAGCAGTGCATTTATTTGTCCTGCTG